TAGAAAATCAACAGAAACTCAAAAGAAAATCAATGCAAAATCAGTAAGAACTCAAAAGAAAATCAATGCAAAATCAGTAGGAACTCTAGAAAATCAACAAAAAATCAATATAAAATCAATAATGATGTCTCCTAACACCTTCCCTAAAAACACTCTCAATAATTTCAAAACAGTTTCCTACACAGACCTCTCCTTTCTGTTGCAGACATGTCTCCCGTACGATGGGCTCGCCGGAAGTCGTCGAGCTCCGAGTCAGAGAGGAACTGCTACAACGTGCAGACGTCGCAGGTAACGACCGAGCGGAGTCCCACGAAGAAGGACAAGAAGCGGATCCAAGAAGAGAGGCGACGGATCTGCGAGAAGAGGAATCCCATCCTGGACCGTGTGATGAACACCAGGTTGAGCTTCTTCAAGGACCGGGACTCTGAGGATGAAGATCAAGAAGAGGATGAGGATCCAGAAAAGCTACAGTTCCGTTCCATGTGCGAGCTGACTCAAAACAGCCTGAGCAGAAATGAATTTAGACGGTCAGTGTGCGAGTCAGACTTGAAAGAGATCATAGAAGAAGAGAAAACTCAAACGAAAAGAAAAAGACGTTCCAAGTCCCAGAGCAGGTTACCTTACAGGAAGCACCAAGAAGAACGCTTCTCCTTCCTAGGGTTCCGTCCCATGTCAGCTCAAACAGCGGAATTATCTAAAAAGAGTGTCAGCGAAAGTGTCAATCACCAGAACCGCAGATGGCGCAAGAGCAAGGAGTACGTTCAAGAGCACAGTTCCACTAGATCGGTGAACAATAATCAAGAAGCACCTACCAGCACAGAAGAGTCTGCATACAAAGACGGCTCCCAGTTCGACAGCATCACTCCGTCCAGCTGCCTGGCTGCCAAGTTCAGAGCGATGCAGGACAGGTACCTCAAGAGCTCGACCAGCAAGCTGATCGCGAAGATCTACAAGAAGGACAGCAAGGACAGGGAGAGGAGGAGACTCAGGAGCTTCTCGTACGGCACCTTGCCTGGCCTCGAGGAGCTCAGGACGAATCCTCTTTACGAAGAGCAAGACCAAGACGATAATGATTCTGGGATCTTGGACAACGACTCTGCAACTAGTTCCCTTCTGGACGACAGGTGCAGCAGCAGCGCTTCCGGCCTGCTCACTGGCCTTAACGACTCGCTGCACTCCCCACCGCAGCTGCCACCTAGGAAGCCCTCGTCGTCCATTGTGGATGTGGAGAGGACGACGCGCTTGTTCTCCAGCTTGGACGTTTACTGCAGCAGGAACGAGGGCAGAGGTTGCAAGAGGGACATGTCCAGGCTGCACGAGCTGGAGGACTCCACCAGCCAGCTGTGCCAGGCTGCGAACAGCGAGCTCATAGACCGCAGGGACTCCAAGCCCGACAAGGACGCCACGAGATTGGACAAAGAGCTGGCCTCGGAGAACTATTCCGCTCGGTTGCCTGTCATCAGGAACAGGCCGTACACCACCGAGACCATGGTCGTGAAGCTCTTCAGGGAGAGCTCGGACCAGTGCTTGGGTATCTTCATCGCCAAGACTGCGGAGTCCAGTCCCGGCTACCTGGTGGCCCACGTGGTGCCCAACGGGCTCGCTGACAAGGAAGGCACTTTGAGGATAGGCGACGAGATCTTGATAGTCAATGGTAAGAGACTCAGGGGACTGAACATGGCGAAGGCCAGGAAGATCCTTGGCAGTGGCAGTGGGCCTGGGGAGGTCGACATCGTCGTCTCCAGGTATTCCGCTTTGGACCAGTCCTCGAAGAAGCTCACGGAGAGCAGCGTGGACTACGAGAACGTCAACGTGGAGAACGGGCACGGCGTGATCGTCGACAACGCCTCCAAGTCGCACTTCAAGAAACACCACACCAAACACCACCGCGACAGGAGGAGCGAGTGCAATAGATCCACATCGGAGAAATCCGTCGCGAACTTGGACAACAGCGCCTCCCAGAGCGTGTCGAATTTCTGCACTTTGCCCAGGAGGCCGAGGAACACCGTCTCGACGTTCCTCACGGTGGTGTTCCAGAAAGGCCCGGGAAAGAAGTCGCTGGGATTCACGATCGTGGGCGGGAGCGACAGTCCCAAAGGAAGCATCGGTGAGTCACATACTTTTATTCAGTAATATTCATACAGTGCCGAAGTCGTGCGAGTCGGAGGCTCCGAGGACGTTCGAAAAGTTTTCTACTTGTGGAATAACGATTCCCGGCTGATCGCGACTGCCACCCGGAGAGAGGTTATACCGAGGTGCAGTCTCTAATTCTAGCGAATTCAACTAGCGTTATACGTGTCCGTTAGGAAATTAGTGTTAATATAAGGGGTGTGCTTAAATTGAATGGTTTAGTTTGACAATTTGGTGGATGCAAGAACGTGCGCACGTAAATACAAAAATGCGTTGGGAAAGTATCTTGGCTATTCGAAGTGTGAATTTGAAGTGTGATGATTGGAAAGAAATAATTTTTGTCGTGTATAATTCTTTACGGTTGCATTTCTGAATTTACGTTTCTGTTACATTTCACTTCCGTGCATGCTCGTGTTTTTATAAACTAAGTGTTCTTGAGTAATTCAAAAGAATCTGAAAACATCTTAAATAGTTTTATGCTGTACAAATGTTTAATTATGTATAAATCTCAACGCAATTACGTAACAATTCCTTCTCGGAAGGGTTGATATATATTATTTCTACGTAACATGTTAACTCTGAAGTCATTAACTTTGAAAAATTAATGCGATTAATCAGCAGTCACTAGTCGCTACCATTGAGATCAGTCAACGTTAACACACCAATCTCGGTAAAACATTGTTACTTATTATACGTACAACTTCGATATAAATTCTTCTTCCTTAGAAAGCTTCAACATTTTATTTCAAGCATCATTAACAGCAACGCGGCTATCTGTCGTGTGACATTACGCTACGTTAAATTACTTTGCGAAGTGACGCTAGCTACTTATTTGTTAGTTTGTTATAAAGCATTTAAAAAATGGGATTCGGGATATTACTATTCTAACGTATGAAGAAAATTCAAAACGATCCGTTCGCAATTAACCTCTTACGATAAATTACTGAACTCGTTGATTAGTCGTCTTATGGTCAAAAGACGTTCACTTAAAATAATATCAGTCGTACAATTAAAAACTATATCGATACTGCACACTGCGGTTCAAATATTTCGTATAAATGACACTGATTTTTATGGAACCATGCGGCCTTTTAAGCAAATCGAACAAATAAATGAATGTCAGAGATGAAAATAATCACGAAAATTTTAATTTTGCAATAGGATTACTTTTAATCAATGTGTATATTCTTTGATATTGTCGGTACAAATTTTTTTAAAACGTTTAAAATTCAATAGTATTTAATACAGTAATAAATAAATTAATTAATAAAATAAATTCTTAAAATAAACCTATTCTATTATTAAAATCTAAACAATATTAAAATTGTTAAAATCATTGAAATCATCGATCATTGAAGTCGTTGAAATCATTGAGATAATTGAGATCATTGAAATCGTTGAAATCATTGAGATCATTGAAATTATTAAAATCATCGAAATCATTGAAATCTAAAAATTATTAAAACTATTAAAATTGTTATAATCATCGAAATTATTGAAATCATCGAAATCATCGAAATTAAAAAATTATTAAAATTAATAAAGTTACTACATTTCAAAATTAAATAGATCTTAGAATAGTCCTCTTACTGATCTACTAAATTTTCAAGCTTATTTAGTACTTAGGTAGCCCCACATTCGTACCCTTCCCAAACCGCATAACGTTTTCAAAGACTTTCAGGATTCAAGTAGAAAAATTTCAAAGTCAAAAAAAATATCTACCATACTTTACTCCTGGCTACTTCGCAGCCATCAGAGTTCCATAAAAATCAGCGAATATTATGCAGATGTTCGTTGTAAATTCGCGTTATCGAGTGTTAATCCTGTCGTCGCGCTGCAGAACGTCTTATCCTCGCGCGTTCCTCGCTCCTAGGGCCGTCTGTTTACAGAAGATCGGCTCGCAAACAAGCAAAAATATCATCTTGAACGCAGCACCGGGTGCTGCTTAGAAATGGCAGCGGTTTCTTGCCATAACATTTACGCGCTTGCTCAACCGTTGTACGGGTTGTCGATAAATTGCTTCTGCATGTATACAAGCGGTCTCGAGTTTTACGCGCTCGTTACGGTGCCGCGGCGCCCGCAAACATAACCATGCCACCGTGTAAGATGCCGTGTTTCGTAGATACCGAGGAACATCGCGAGACGCAGCCGCGAGTTTCGAACGGTTTTATTTAAATTGGCGCGGTGCGATATCGCCGTTGCAATCTGATATGAAGTTCGTGCAATCTCCTCAATGGCTGCCAGCAATTTTTTGAACAGACATTTATGCATCCTCGCTAGTACAGGAAACTCGTTGTTAGTCATACCATTCTTTCAGTCATGTGAATTTTATAAATCAGTAGATGAGCAAGTTTCGATTCTAGAATTGGTTACTGTGATTTGATTTCTTGATTGAGTACTGGAGGAATTTTTAATACTTCCGAATTCTCCTCAGTTAGTTTTTAAAATGAGTCGTGGTGAAATTTGTTGAGTCAAACATTGGAAGTCTTGTTCCATAAGTTTATTGATATGAGAGAATAATGTATTTTGTAATGTGTTTTAGTTTTATAAAATTACATTGATTTCAGTGTTGGAATGCCTAACTTGCTTTTTTGAACAGTGATGAGAATAAAATTGGATTTTTCAGTTTTTGGAAAATTTCGTGATTGTATTTATCATTGTGCAAGGAAGGAAGTCTATTAAGTTCTTATCTTAATTGGTAATATGTATTAGTGAAAGTTCTTTGCGGTCTATTGAATACTTATGTAACGTTAAAATTCGAGATTTTAAATGTATAGTCAATAATAAATCCAATTCTATAAGTTGTATGTGAAATGCATCTGTTGACAGTCTATTGTCCATACGTTAACTCTATTCTGTAAAAGTTTGATTATCTATTAATAATTTATTACTGATCCTCTGTTACAGGTATCTTTATAAAGTCGGTGTTGCCAGGTGGTCAAGCCGCAGAAGATGGCCGATTGCGTGCAGGCGACGAGATATTAGCAGTGAATGGCCATGTCTGTCACGACTTAACCCATAGAAAAGCTGTTCAACTTTTCCGTAACATTAAAACTGGACCAGTTGCCTTACATTTGTGCAGACGCATGAAAAATAAGGAATTACAGTAAGTACGCTAGTGTTTAAACATAATTAATAAGTAAAATTTGCGAAAAACTGAAACCTATATTTCAATATAATCACTACCGTCAACGCCTATTCAGCCTTGGTTATTCTACGCCTACTATAACAATATTAAGAAGATTTGTACAAATCAATGTTCATCAGTTTTACTAACCTTTAAATAATCTTCTACAAAATATGCATTTCCCATAAAGATATAGTAGCTTCGCAGTTAAAAGATTTCGAAATAACGAATTACAGTTCTCACACTAAAACACTCAACGCGTGCAATTAGAATGAATGTTTTTAAAGTCGCTATTAATCATTCGTATTACCTTGACTTTCCTCTATTACATATCAAAGCGTATATTGATATTTTCACTTGAATGCATAATTTACCGTTTAATGACATTGCTAGACTATCAATTTTATTAAAGTTCCACGACACTAGATTAAATCTAACGATAATCAAAAATCTAATTTCACTTAAAACACTTATTTTGTAGAGGAATGTTCACAACGTATTCATTCGTTAACATTAACGTATACTAATTAAAGAGAAGAGGACCCAGGAAAGAGCGTAAATAACCTATAACCTTACGTTCCAGGGCAACGAAGGCTAAATCGTGCACAGACCTCTTACTCGTCGACACGTGAAGAGAAGCATTGTACAAGAAGATTGTAAAAAGAAGCCTCTGTCACTTTTGTAAAAATAAATCCGGGACTTGTACATATTGTAAATTTGTAAAGTTTCGTAGCAATAAAATTCTTATTTAATAATTGTTCAATTCGATGTCGTTGTTCATTCCGCAAGATACATTTGCAATGTAGTAGTAGTATTAGTAGACCTCAAAAGCACCTTAAAAGTACGTCCTCTTTATTGTCCTCTATAATAAAAAAATGATCGCATACAATGGATTCACGTTGCTTTAACGTATTTGTATAAAATCTTATAGTCATATAATAATAGTAATAATAATAATAATAGCAATAATAATAATATTAATAATAATAATTTTCAATAATAATATTAATAATAACCACTTTATAATATAAACTTAATACTACGCAACTGCGACACCGCGATAAATAAATTAATCGAAACAAACATCAAAGATCGTAGATTCGTTCTGATAGACTAGAATCCTAAAACTTCGTACGGAGCGAAACGGCAGGTCGCTTAGAATTAAATTGAAAGAGCACTTCCGGTGGGCAGTTTCATTCGTCTCGCCTACCCTTCAGCATGCCGCGGATTTTTGTGTGGGTTTTGGATACCTGAAACATTAAATGCACATTTCTGGGTAAGTTATCATGTAATTACTAATGAAAGAAGAGGTTAGGTTCCTTCAGTTGGTAGTATATAAGGTAATTTATGATTTATGTGGGATTTGCTTTTTACTATGAAACAATGTAAGGTAAACGCACCAGTACTTGACTTGTTAAAAAGAAACTGTCTGCGTAAATTGTAAACGCTTGCTCCTTTATAGTTATAAATTTATATGAATATTTACCTGTGTCTTCGCGTGACTTCCAGTTCGATAGGACCCTCCCTAACTGCTTTGAACAATTCGATAACCTCTTGATGTGTGTAACCACGCAGAACCTTCCCATTTAAACTTAATATCTCGTCACCTGAAACAAGAAATGACAACAGTTCTATGAGTGATAGTTTTAAGTGAAAAATACAGTTGAAGAAAATTTTTTTTGGTGTTGGAATTACTATCGTTACACCGGTATCTACTTATTCATTTCTAATTGTAAGTGGACCATTATTAACACTAGAACTACCAAACGGGTCAAAATGACCCATTCCTTGATTTTTTCTTTCGCAATTACTGAATCTCTTTGAGACATTACTAAAGAAGCTGATTAAGTAATCCCTAAGTTGAAATTTAAACCACTTATTTACGTATTTAGTAAATATTAATATCAGTCGTTTCTTAACTTTTTTGTTAACTCTGTTCTTAGAGAATTTAATATTCGAAGTGTCCCCTCGCAGGGGACTTTCGAGTGCAAAGGATTAATATTTAATAATTCAAATAAATATTGATCCTTTATGAATGTAGAAACACTTTTTGATAATTATTAAGAAAGAAATTGAAGAAAAGAAATTGAAAGGCAACAGGTTAACATTGTTTGTAAAATTATACAACAAAGCAGTACTTATTTTGAATGATCAAATTTGTCAAATATAGACCAACATTCATGCAATATGTTTTTAGTAGCCAGAGTGTCTTCGGTCCGTGCACTCAACAGCTACCCACTGGTTTCAAAATACATTCGTACGTCTTCTCCGTCTTTACAATACCAAGCTAAGAATAAAAAGTGGGAAATGTGTGAATAAGTCCCGAAAACCAGTCACCAGTTGTCATAACTATTATTTCCACTGCAAAGGTCTTTAACCTGAGAGGCAACAGATTTATTAATGTCAAACAACCATATTTATATTAATAATACAGTACAAGAAGAATAATTATAATTTGAAGCAATTATCATTTATGAAATTCAAGTAGTATGTTAATAAATACAAATACAAGTACAAAATTACAAAGTGTACAATTAAATGCAAGAATCTTTAAGTCAATAAAAATTTTTAAAAAATGATCAAAAGGCACATAAACTAACTCACTTCCGGTGATTACCAATGTTTCTATTTTCTGTTAATTAATTATCATTCCAGATGAAACTTTAACCACGTTAAATAATTAACATTTAATTAACACTTAATGGAAAGTCTAATGTTACTTTATGTTACTATACACATTAAATCTTAACGTTACTTTATACATTAAATTTTGAAAATATATATTTTTATATTAACATTTGTACTAAAATAAATTGCGTAAGAATTCATTTTCAAATAAATTTTTTTCTACTTTAAAAATAATTTAAAATTCATAAACCCTTATGTGGGTCATCGATTCCTAGCATAACTTTCTTCTGGGCCCTAAGAGGATGGAGGGGGAAATACAAGAACAATTTAAATTAAAATAATTCAACCGTAGCTAACCGATCAGTCGTTTCCAGCGCCAAGAAAAGTGCGTCGCGATCATTAACACTAGGTTTACCATGCGGGACATTTTGACCCGTTTCGAACTTCGCGAGGCAGATGACAGAAACCATTTGCAGTGTTCTCGCGATTAGCACCCGAAAACCGGGACTGCGGCAGGGCACTAACCGTGCAGTGTTGATGATTCGAGATCGAGATAAGATACGAGCCGACTGCTGTTTGCCCTCAGTGGAGGAGGACAGCACCAATGAAAGAGCGAGACGCTAGACCTTCAGAACGATCAAAAGAACCAGATGAATCAGGGGATATTAACACGTTCGCTGTCACGAAAAGCTTCGGCGTTTTATGCATTGTTTTTTCTTTTGCAGCGAAGATACAAAGAGATGATTATCAATTGTTTGGTACTACAGTTCTTAAGTTACATTATTATCTGTTTATTTACGCTGTTATGATTATGTTAAATCGGTGAAACCAGTCCGATTCCCACCGTGTTTGGACTCATTTTAATCAGGAAAATTTCAGAAATCCGTCGGTACCGTAATTGAGAAGGTAACGTTAAAATTACTGTAATTGAAATTTTCTCCAATGCACGAGTATATTTGACGTGTACGGCGTCGTTTTGATTTCATTCATTTCAATCTTACTTTCTCAAACGTAGTGCCAACTGATTGTTGAGATTGTTCTGGTTTTAATTTTTTTGATGACTCATCGGACAAACCGAATTTTGTTGGATATATGAGACAGAAGAAGGATAGTGGAGCTTATTAAGAAGAATTATTAAGAATTATTAAGAATTATTAAGAATCATTAAGAATCATTAAGAATCATTCAGAATCACTCAGAATCGCTCAGATTCATTAAGAATCATTCAGAATCACTAAGAAATACTAAGAATCATGCAGAATCATTCAGAATTACACAGAATTATTAAGAATCATTCAGAATTATTAAGAAGAATCTTGATTTCTCAGTTTCCGGGTAATGAAACATACTATTTCGAGTACATGGGAGTTCTGACGAGTGTTTACGTCGCAGTGTTAATGCAGAACTAGCAATTAAACCACAGACTAAAAATTACACATCATCCTAGGGCCGGTACGCAACGTGTCAACGTCGCGTCGAATTTCGCAGACACGCGTGTCGTCTCGTCTCGTCTCGTAAGCGATTTTTGCGGGCTGCCGGCGCGGTAGGTGGCAGCACGTTATATAGGCGGTTTCACGCAGGACGTTTCGAGTTTCAACCGATCCCGACAGTTTTTACGAGCACTAGAACGTCGCGGTTTCCTCGTGCCACTGCACCCTGCCGCATGCTCGTGTAACGGATTGCTGGTCGCGGCAATTGCATAAGCGCAGGAGCAACGCGAGGCTCTTCCTTGCTATATAATGAAATATGGATATTTCATGATAGTTAATATTCTGGATAATAATTGTATTTGAATATAATTTTTAAATATGGATTGGAAACTATGAAAATCTAAGTTTATTAAAATTTTGTAAAGAAATTCTGAAGATTTATTTAATGCACATTGAATTATTTCAGTATATATATAATAAATAATATATATATACAANNTAATTAATTAAATAACAATATGTAAGGCATTTCATAGATAAGAGACGTTTAAGTGTTGATAGGTTTTATATTTTATATAAAATTTATTTATTTATTTATTTATATATATATATTTATTTATTTATGTATATATATTTATTTATATATATAATATATATTTAATTAAATATATATATATTATTTAATTAATTATACATATACTTATATAATTATATAATTAATTAAATAGCAATATTTAAAGAATTTATTTTTCTAATGCAAATGGCTAAATTCTAAAGAAAAGGTAATACCACTACAACAGTGTCATCAAAGTTACTATAAAAACCAAACATTGATTACGAAATAAGCTCGAATGATTAACGGGCGTGAAATCATCCTTACATAACACAATGACAGTCCGCACACACCGTGACGCGAGTGATTATACCAGATTAGCTGAATTAAAATATGGAAACCTCTGGCATTCACCGTGCTCAGCTGTTTACCCAACAAATTATAACCTCTTCTGTCACTTAGAGCTGTCTCCTTGGAACGAGACGTTCAATAGCGTACGTATAATAAGAAGTGATGATCGCAACAGTGGAAGAATTTATTCAGTGGAAAAGTATTGATTCTTGTGGAATTGGAATTATCAGGTATTATCATGGGTAATTAGAAAAATTGGACCGTTTATTTTGAAAATTTTTTATTTTGAAAATGTCCATTTTTTGTTGTTTCGAGGAAATTATAGGTTAGTATATTAGTCAATTGGAAAATATTAATTATATCAAGTCTGGCAATGTTTATAATTGATCAATATGTAATTTACTGTAAATGGACTTAAACCATTTTCATAATTAGTTAATTGTAAGAATCATTTAATTTCGATTGTGAATAATGAAATATCACTTGAAATATATTTTATTTATAAATAATAACAAGAAATAAACTGGGAGTAGTGTTTTTTATTTTAAATCTTAATATCCTCTCTTGCAATGTGGCCAAAAGTCCTTGAAGTCTTTATTGTGCAAGAAAAGCTCTAAAGACGATCCGGCAGATGAAAAGTTTATTATTATTATTTATTATTTATTATTTATTATCTACTATCTATTATTTATTATCTACTATTTATTATTTATTATCTATTATCCATTATCTATTATCTACTATTTATTATTTATTATTTATTATAAATAATGAACTAACAAAAGATGTATAATATTAAATAAATTAAATATCGAGTAAACAAATTAATCCAATGCTATGCAACAGGTTGGCCACCCCTGATCTAGAGACATTAGTAAACGACCTAACGCCAATGTCACTTCCCAGCCGATTTCGTATTCCCCTAGACTACTCTATGGTTAATTATGCTTCTTCCAATGGGGCACGCCGATGTGACGCAACACTCGTACAGCTTGCGAATCGTTGCCAGGTAAACGAGAAAACGGCAGAAAAGATGGCGTTGACAACGCCGACGAGCTGGCATGCGGGTTGCAGAAGACCAGTTTCCAACCTTTGTGCTATTGTGACTCGCTAACATGTACGTGCCGGACCGTTTTTTAAAGACTTTCAGTTCAGGATGAATGGGTCGTATGTGACCCACACTTTTACGATGAAATAAAATTGAATAAACGTAGTGTACGTGATATTTACATATCTATATTTGAATCTACAATGAATTTTTGACAAATTCAGCATGGGTCATATATGACCCACACTTTTATAATGAAATGAAATTGAATAAACGCAGTGTACATGATATTAAGATGACTATATTTGACTCTACAATGAATTTCTGAAAAATTCCGCATGGGTCATATATGACCCACCTTTTTATAATTAAATAAGATGACTATATTTGACTCTACGTTACGTTACGATGTTTATTTATTTAGAGATCACGATATTAACATTAATTTTTTATTAACAATGTTGGCACCTCCCTATCGTTTAGATATTATGGTATGAACATTAATTTTTTATTAATAATCTTGGCACCTCTCTATCGTTTAATATATATAATAATACAGACACGTTCAATAATAATAACTTTATTACAAAATAAATATTACTTGACTGTATTTGCACTGTTATTTATTTAAATATCATGATATTAACATTAATTTTTTGTTCACATCTCTGACGCCTGCCAGGTTGGAAACCGCGGGCCGAGGTAACGACACGACGCGGAAAGTGCGAGATGGCAGGCCGCTGTTTAGAAATGCGCGCGACGTTAGGTGTCGGATTAAAGATTCGAGATGTGTCCGAGGTGTTCACGGTGTGAATGCACGAGCAACGAGCGTACGTGACGCATTGGCACGCTCCTTTTCCGCTTGCTCCTCCGCCGTTACCGGCGGATCGTGTTTCCAATATTTCCATCCCGAAACGGTGAACTATGTTGCTATCGAACGACATTCTTGTAGTCTACCATACTAAGTGTCCTGTATGTTCGTAGGAAGTATTATCATTATTATTATTATACTATGCACACTGAGTGTCCTGTACATCCATAGTAAGTATTATTATTATTATTATTATTATTATACAGGGTGTTATGCACACTAAATGTCCTGTATATTTGTAATAAGTATTATTAATATTATTATTATACTATGCACACTGAGTATCCAGTATGTTTGTGGTAAGTATTATTACTGTTATTACTACCCAACTTAACCTAACCTAATGTTACATCTTACCTCACTAAATACTCTGTATATTCATAATAGCTATCGTTACTATTATCACTATGTAATTCAACTTAATTCCACTCAACTTAACTGAATTTAACTTGACATAACCTAATGTTGTATTCTACCCCACTATGCATTCTGTGTATTAGTAATAACTATTGTTACTATTATTACTATTTAACTTAACTCAACTCAATTTAATTTAATTTAACTCAACGTAACCTAATGTTATATTCTACACCACTAAACATCCTGTATATTCGTAATAGCTATTGTTACTATTATTACTATTTAACTCAATTCAACTCAACTCAACTCAATTTAATTTAATTTAATTTAATTTAATTTAATTTAATTTAATTTAATTTAATTTAATTTAATTTAATTTAATTTAATTTAATTTAATTTAATTTAATTTAATTTAATTTAATTTAATTTAACTTAACCTAACCTAACGTTACATCCTAACCTACCAAGCACACTGTATATTGGTAACAATTATTATTATTGTAAATGTTACATCCTACCCCACTAAGCACCCTGTGTATTCGTAATAACTACTATTACTATTATTATTATTATTATTATTATTATTTGCTTTGTTTTCTCGCTTTTTATCTGGTTGTACTACATCTGTACAGGTTTATACCATAATCTTGTATACATAGAATATTGATCTAATGCATATTTAATACTGATCTAATGAACATTGATCTAAATTTGTATAAATAGAATATTGACATGATAAATATTTAATATTGATCTCAACTTGTATAAATACAACATTGATATAATAAATATTCAATATTGATTTAATGAATATTGATCTAATCTTGTATAAATAAAATATTGACATGGTAAATATTTAATATTGATCTAATTTTCTATAAATACAATATGGATATAACAAATATTTAATACTGATCTAGTGAATATTGATTTAACAAACACTAATCAATAAATAACAAAAAAATTCCTACCTTAAATATTTACATACCACTATTCTACCCTCATACAACCCAATAAAACACATAACCTAATCAACTGTATTCCTCTTGCTCCACACAAAATCCCACCCTCTTTTCATCAGAACTCCCATATATCAACCGTACCATCCATCCCTGCACAGGCGCGCAAAGAATCCACGATTGCGTCACGAAGAAAGGAACGGTGACACGGTGGATTACGTTCCAGATACGTAACACTTTAAAAGGAGCACCGGAGGTCATCGAGGGATACTCGATGATCATCTAGGCTCAGCTGCATCGGTAGCTGGCATTATTATTAACAATCTATTATTATTGTTATTCTTATTATTAACAAACAATCTTCCCAAAGAAATAAATTCAAAATCTATTAAATTTTATGAAATTAATAAACCGTTTTCAAAATTTGTAGAATTTTATAAAATACTTCAAATTCATTAAATTTTATTAAATTAATAAACCATTCTTAAACTTCCCAAAACGTTTCCAAAACCATCCATCTACATCCCCCAAATCCAAAAACCCAAAAACTACACGTTTCAAGAATTTCAGCATAAAAGGACCTTATCCAAAGAAATAAATTCAAAATCTATTAAATTTTATGAAATCGATAAACATTTATTTTCAACATTTATCGAATTTTATTAAATTTTATTAAATTAATAAACCATTCTTAAAATCTATCGAATTTTATTAAATTTTTCAAGTTCTTTAAATTTTATTAAATTATCAACTACTCTCAAAATTTATCGAATTTTATTAAATTCTTCAAATTCTTTAAATTTTATTAAATTAATAAATCATTCTTAAAATCTACCGAATTTTATTAAATTAATAATTCGCACCTCCCTATCGTTTAGATATCATGATATTAACATTAATTTTTTATTAACAATTTTGCCACCTCCCTATGGATTACGTTCCAGATACGTAAGACTTTAAAAGGAGCAGCGGAGGTCATCGAGGAAATCTTGTTGATCATCTAAGCTCAGGTGGATCGATCGCCGGCTATTTTCGAGCGATTGTCTCGGCTGCCGGGAATTCTATTGTACTTAATTGATCGCCGGGCAATTATCGAGCGGCGCTTGCGATTCTGAAAGGAGATAAGGGAATGACGTCGATAATGACGGATGACAGTAGAGGGATAAACGTTTCTGAGAATTTGTTTCTTTGGATAAGGTTCTCTGGTGATGAATTTCTTGAATCGTGTGATCTTTGGGTTTTTATATTTTTGGAAATGTTTTGGGAAATTTTGGAATAGTTTATTAATTTAATAAAATTCGATAGATTTTGAGAATGGTTGATTAATTTAATAAAATTCGATAGATTTTGAGAATGGTTGATTAATTTAATAAAATTTAGTGAATTTCAAAATGATTTATTATTTTAATAAAGTTTAACCAATTTTAAGAATAATTTATGAATTTAGTAAAATGTAATAGATTTTAAGAATGATTTATAATTTAGTGAAGTTTAATCAATTTTAAGAATGATTTATTAATTTAGTAAAGTTTCACCAATTTTAAGAATGATTTATTAATTTAGTAAAGTTTCAGTCATTTTAAAATTACCTTCTCAATTATAGTACTGATGGATTGCTGAGATTTCCCTGATTAAAGTGAGTCCAAACACGGTGGGAATCGGACTAGTTTTACGAATTTCGTGTAATTTTCGAAATTAAAGGCTCGTTTCCATGAAATCGAGAACCTAATCCGATATACGTCGTGTTTGGACTCATTTTAATCAGAAAAACTTCAACAATTCATCAGTACTACATTTGAGTAGCTAATGTAAAATTACTGCAATTGAAATTTTCTCCATTACATGTTTATCTGTCTCCACGGTATCTCTTTAACATATATCTGTCCATTGGGATCACGTTATACTGAACTCTTAACAGTGACCAGTAGAAGAGTACGGTTGAGCCAGTAAAATTTATCCGAGCAGATTTCTACAGAATTTAACCTTTCACCAATGGCAGAACTGGCCGCCAAGCTGTTGTACCTCTGTACGTCAAGATTCGACGTGGTCTGCATATCATAAATGTAGCACTGTAACGTAACAATTACGTTACATTGGATTATAATGTGCATAGCTATCGATGATAGAAAGAATTGTGCAGCTATAGTGGTGTTGTACCGTCCAGAAAGATGATATACGATAGTTCTAGTGTTAAATAAAATATTAAGTTATATTCAGGTTTTTTAAAATTTCATATATTTCGATATTGTTTCTTAATGTTTTCGGTGCTTTGTCACGTATACAGCTATTGTCGACCATGTGTCAAAAATATTTTGTCACAAAAATTCACGCGTACCACACGTGGTACGTGACGCGAAAATAGTTCATGTACCACCGGTGGTACGTACGTTCCATGCGAGACAAGCATGTACCACCGGTGGTACATCCCGTCGTGAACGTGTCAAACACTCACTAAACGCAATAAAAACCTACCTTGAAACAGCGACTTGGAGACGTCAGCCTGGCCGCCGGGGAAGACCCTCCTGACGAAGATGCCCATTTCGCCCCGAGGACTGTCCCTGCCCCCCACGACACTGAAGCCCAAGCTGGGCTTCCCGTAGCCCTTCTCGAACTTGGCGACGTGCCTGGTCAGGTAGTGCTGCGGCTCCGCGGTCGACTCGAGGCCGTTCTCCGCGCCCTTTCGTTCCTTGGACAGGCAGGAGAGCGGCAGAAAATCCGGCCTCTTCGTCGACTGGACGTTCTCCTCGGCGGCCGCGCCGGACTTCTCCGACTGCGCACCCTGCTTCGCTTGGCCGTCGATCAACGACAGGTTCGAGAGGTTCTTCGCGTTCTCCAGGTACTCGTACTCCCCGGGCAGCGTCGGCGGGCTGACGTACACCTGGGGCACCGTCTCCTCGTACGCGGTGATCAAGCGGATCTTGTTGCCGGTGAAGGACTTCAGGAAGTCCTGCACCTCCTCCAGGCTCTCCAGCGTCCTCAGCTCCTTGCCCTCGACCTCCACTATCTCGTCGCCTAGTCTCAGTCTGCCGTCTCTGCAACAGTCAAGGTTTACTTGTTAGTTTTCGTGTCGAGGTGTTTTATGGTGGGAGTCATAAAATTATGATATATATCATATTGAGTTATCATATTGAATTATCATACTAAATTATCATATTGAATTATATTGAATTATCATACTAAATTATCATATTGAATTATATTGAATTATCATACTAAATTATCATATTGAATTATATTGAATTATACTAAATTATCATATTGAGTCATCATATTAAGTTATCATATTGAATATCTCTAATTCCCCTCTTTTCGACAATGTATTATTTAAATAAATAAATATTACAATATCATTTTGTAGTTACACTAATTTCTCTTATTTATTACCAGTTTATAATTATACATATAATAATAAACAAAAAGTAACTCTTCCTTTTTAGAATAATTCATAATAACGAAGTAAAGTAACACAATTTTCTATAAAAACTCGAAATGGGACACGAAGCAGCAGGAACTGCTTGAAATATTAATTACGTATTCATGAACTCAGTACAGATACAACTAGTGAATAGGTGCAGTGTGACAGTGGTTTCAATGGTTTCATAGTGGTGATGAGGTTCTTCAAGAGAAAGAAGGTCGAGGGTGGTCTCTGAGGAATTTATTAATTCTACGACATCAGACTTTTATATTAACGGAGTAAGGAAGCTTGAATCACGTTGGGAAAAGTTTAAATTATAATAGCTTCTGTGAAACTAAATAAATTTATTTTGTAAACTTTAAATATTATTACATGTAACAGCTGCAATTTACTTTTGGACAGTTTAATACAAATGTCCAATTTGGAAATAACCTTCAATCTTATTCAAAGTTCACTGAATATAGAATACTTGTCTAATTAACTAATAATATTATGTTATATTTATAAAATTAATATTTGTTGTGAAACATGAGGACTAATGACTGCATTTTGGATTCAATTTTGGAATACAATAATTGTAACATTTGGAAATTTGAATTTTATAAAATTTTAAAACCTTGATAAAAACTTTATAAAATTAAAAAGAAATTTTATTCCAAAACTGAATACATATATATATATAGGGTGAGTCATCTAACATTTGCGCCTCAAATATCTTTGTTGTTTTTAAAGATACGTCAAATATCTTAGGAACAAAGTTAAATGGTTCAGTGAGGCTCGTATAGTACCAAAAAGATTTTTGTTTTTGTCATTTTTTTAAAGATATCAAGATCACTTTCATTTTTCTAAACGGAACCACCCTTTTTTAAACACTTCCAGTGATAATCACTCAAGGTTATTCAAGGTAACGGTTATAATAATATTTAATATATTGTATCTCGTTTATTGTTCAGCTAAAAATGTTGTTACTGAGATATATTTATATTTACTTATCTTGCGGTAACTTGAGATTTGTGCTATTTGCATTGTGTGTATTCAATAAAAGTATTATTTATTGAAAATCCAACAATAATTTTCTTACTGCACAATATTTTATAAATTCTGTTTTTATTGTCTTTAGAATGAAATAAAATCCATGAGATCTACAATGTTTCTTGTGCCATTCAGTATTGTCCATGGTTAATGAATAAGATGCAGTGAACTCATAAAATTAACGTAGCGAGAGGCTAGCACTATTGAAGAGGCGCAACCTATTCAGAATTTACGTTCGTCTTGGCAGAGCTCAGATAATTCTTTCTTTTTTTGGAACGCTGACTGTCATTTCTAGAAAAACTGAAAGGAAACTTTTTGAGACGTCCAATTAAAAAGTATTGAAAGTACGTTAATTACTTCACTCAGAATGCTAGAGAAATATTAGAAATATTTAGAAAAATGTTTATATTTGTTTATATTATGAAGTTTATTTCTTTGTAAATATTACGGTATGAACACTAATTTATTATTAACAATTTCAGCGCCTCCCCTGGAAGCCACGCCTCCCATATTGAGAACTGCTAATTTAACCAAAAAGAAAATCATTTCCACAAAACTCTAAAGCACCCTTGCCCCTTCACCAAAATCCATCGTATCCACTAACACTAACACAAAACACACCTCAAATAACCAATTTACCACCATAAATTTAAGTACTCACCTATGCGCAATCCCATCGCTCTCCAGCTGCACAACAATATACCGCATCTCCCCCAGCCGCTGCTGTGCCAGTCGTATCCCCAAGCTCTCCTTCGGGTCCCTCTTCTGCAGCTGCACCAGTCGACACCGCCTTACCCTCTTCGGCGGCTGAATGATATCACTGAGAAACCTGGTCTTATCCTGCTGCAGTCTGATCCGGTGTGGCGAGATATCAAGAGACTTAGGTGGCGAGCTCTGCAAGCTCAACCCGTTTCCATAAACAGGGAACTGTGCATTCACCGCATCATCGTACGTCTGATGAATACTCGGCAGCATCCTGCCCGAGTTGCTCTGGTGCCACCTGAACCCGTCGATCCCATCTGTCAACTCGTTCCCTTCCCTAACCCTAGACTCCTGGCTCTCCTGCTCCTGACACTCACTGGGCGTCGAGCTCCTGATAGGCTTCTCCAGCTCCGAGTCCACCACGCTGCTGGTATCCGAGCTGTCAGTGCACTTCAAACTAACTCCCTCGTTCTCTGACGCAGCTGACTCGCCTCTAGGCCCATCGCTGTCATAGCCAGATTCGTTGGAGCTAACGTAATGAGAGGACAACCTCTGCTCTCCACTAGGCGCTGAGTTCCTCCTATGGTTCCTCAGCGTGGGCACCATGTCCAGGTCTACGTTCAAAGAAGACGTCTCTGAGAACCTGGTCTCGATCCTGTCCTGGCCATCGGGCTGGCTGCCTCTGAGGGACATGGGGCTGCTGTCGTAGCTGTAGCAGCCGATGTCCTCCTGCTGGAGGTTGTCCTCGATCCGCTCCAGCTGGCTCGGGTTCAGACTGTACCTGTCCTCGCAGCGGTTGGCACTCCTGAACTCCGCGTACGAGCCAGTCTTCGACGTGGAGGGCTCCTTTGGGTTCCCCCTGGCGACGCTCGATGTCCTCGAGCGCCGCCTGCCCAGCGTGGTCGTGCCGCTGTAGGCATCCTCTATTTTCAGCGTGGGGAAGTGCTCCTCGGACGCGGTTTTAAATAATCGTTCGTCCTTTGACAACGTGCTGTGACGTTCCTCGGGCAAGACGGAGAGTTTCGACCGCAAGAAGGCGTACGGGAAGCTGGACTTCTTAGCCTCCTTGAAGTCGCAGCTGCTGCTCTTTCTCATGGGTGACTCGTTCGAATGCTCGAAGTCGCAGGAGCTGAAGCTGCTGACGGATGGACTGCCTAAGGGGTACGTGGTGTCGTTGATGTCAAAGGCAATGTTCTGAGCCAGGTCATCGCAGGACACAGTCTTGTCCTTGCGACTGGAGATCTGGAGGTCGATGCCTTCTGATGGGTCATCGCCCTTCACGTAGGTGGGACTGGTGTTCAGCTGGCTCGTGCTGCAGCTTCTGAAGAGGTTCTCCTTGTCGGAGGACTTGAGTCTGTCGTCGATGTTCTGGGATCGCCTGTTGCCTCTCGCTGAGTTCAGCATGCCCGTGGAACCCATGCGGATGAAGAAGGACTTGAACGGGGATGGTGATCTGTGGAACGTTCCAGGTATTCTCTTTTCTTGCTTGGAGTCGGATGGTTGATCTGTTTTCGGAGCTACGTGGTTGTTGTTGGTGGCTGTGGTGCTGTTGTTGTTGCCACTGTTGTCGGACTTCTCTGAGATGGAGCAGATCGTCTCGCGGGAACCAGCCCGCCGGAAGGAGTCGATCTTCTTGCTCATCCTGCGGCCCCAGACACCGAAACTCGAGCCTGGAAGAAAGTGGAGAGAATGGGGATTTAGTGTTGCTGTTGTCGAATGTGGGATTTTGGTGGTTTAGCTGGTGTTGAGTAAATACTGTGTTGCGAGTCATTTAAAAGATGATGATGGATATTAACCCCTTGCTGTACAATGACAAGTGAGACTCGCGATGAAGATTTTTGGACTAATTTAAGAACAATCAATGCTGTTCGTTACCTACAGATCAAAGGAGACAACTATTTTGCAATTATCAATGTATTATCTTCAAATGAAATTTCCACTTGAAGTAGAATGGAAAATTTTGTTGCATTTCTTCAGAATTGTCGATAGTAAAATATTACATGAGCTTAGTAGCGAAAGTAAATAGTATGCCAAGGGGTTAATTATTACTTATTCTTTCTACAGCGGAGGTAAGAAGAAATATTAACTCTTTACAATCGAGAGATGATTTTCATTCACTACTTGATTCGATATAACAAAGTTAACCCCGTGCCCTATGAGTTCTTTCTCAACTCTGATTGATATTACTACTTTGTCAATAATTTATTGGGAAAAGAAGCATTTCCTATGCTTACGTTTGCTGTTAAGTATAATAATTGATTACAGAAGAATAATAGTTCAATCATATTGGAAATCTTCACCACGAGCCTAACACGTTGTTATAAGGCAAGCGGTTAAAAGTTCTTGTTTATTCTTCAGTAATGCATTGAACAAAAATAACATAACAGTCTACATAACATGTAAGTTGATTTAAGGTATGATTTTTCATGACCTGGACAAGTCGAAATACAACAGTTAAAAAATAAACTGCATTTCTGGGCACGATTAACATTTAAATGTATATGAAATATTTATTTTAGATTTTGAAAGAAATATTATTTTCCAAATATTTCTGAAATATTTATTTTAGATTTAAAAAGAAATATTTTATTTAAAATGTTTATTAAATATTTATTCTACATTTAGAAATTGTTTTTCAAATATTTATCAACTATTTATTTTATATTTAGAAAGAAATATTTTTCTTCAAATATTCATCAACGTATTTCACACAACGTGGAAACACATTTCCCAAAACATAAAATAGACATTAATTAAATACTAAAAATAAAATATTCTTCCCAACTTTCAAATTATTTCCCTTTTTTTCATTAAGATTAAACATAAAATAGACATTAATTTAATATTGAAAATAAAATATTCTTTCTTATCTGTTCCATGGGACGGGATGTACCACCGGCGGTACATGCTTATTTGCCTCATAGGACGGATGTACCACCAGTGGTACATGCTTATTTGTCTCATAGGACGTATGTACCACGTCATGGTATATACGTCACATGGGACAAACAGGAATGTACCACCGGTGGTACGTGAACTATTGTCGCGTCATAGCATTTAAATAACTGGTTACCGTAATTAACAAATTTATTTACTTTGTATACATAAGGGAACTATTCTCTGAGGTCTCAAGTGTAACACAAAGAAGAAAATAATTACATACATAATTTCGAATTAGCCACGTCAGATGGGAGAAAGTACAGCACCGCCCCGCGGTGGGTACGCTAAATTCAAGCGCCATCGCGAACGTGTGTTAACCCCATCCGCGGGCCACGTAACCGTTCTAACGGTAAACCGGCAGAAAAGGGGGCGGCTCGAAACATTTCCCGGAATCTGCGCCGGGGCTTCAGCTGCGCGCGTCGAATAAAGGGGCACAAGAAGAGCCGGTGGATGAGATGCCTGGCCATCCCGCGGCACGAAAAACCACCCGGCGGCATCCGCGTCCGCGTCGACATATGGTCGCCCCCAGGTACGCCGTGAAACTCGCGCCGACCAACAGACTCGGCAGAGCTGGTTCCGCGTATTTTGGGACTACTTTTTCGAGGTGTCGCCACGGCTAACGGGGCCGGGCCGAGGCCATTCGCTTCTATACCAGCGGTTTCCAACCTTTATGCTACTACGTCTTTCTAAACATTCTTTTTTTGTTTTCTATGTTTTAATGGGTGATGATGTTATCGGGTTTTGAGTGACAATGACTTTGTGAGGAAATAAATATTGTTTTAATAAATTTGTATGTTGCCATGTGAGGTTTAATTTTTTATTAACAATTTTGGCGCCTCTTATAACTTTATGTTGTACTTTACATTGAAAAAGAATATTTTATTTGCAATAATAAATTAATATCTATTTTATATCTTGGAAAATATATTTCCCCGTTATATGAAATATATATAGTTGATAAATATTAAAAAAAAAATATTTCTTTCTAAATATAAAGTAAATATTTGATATACATTTAAATGTTAAAAAGAGATTCGATCTTTTTTATATTAGATACATTGGATTCGATATTTTGTGCTACCAGAGTTACTTCGGTAAATTTGTAACAATTTTTTATTAACAATTTTGGCACCTCAACCTAACCTAACAATTACTTTGTTACAAAATAAACATTACTGCACTATTGCCTCCCCTGGCAATAGTCCTTGCCTCCCAGGTTGGAAACCGCGGTGCTACACGATTGTTAAGCTGCTCAGGTATCGGGAACACGTGTTCCGGCGATAATGCGCGGGACACCGTGCGCAGCGCGTTTGCTGGCAGCGTCACATATTCGTGACGGCCGTGATCCTGTATTTTACATAATAAAAATGAAATGAATCCTATAGATATTGTTATTATAAATCATAAATTCCTATAGATATTGTTATTAGAAATTATAAATTCCTATAGATATTGTTATTAGAAATTATTAATTACGACATTATATTTAGGAACTCGTTTCAGTTTTGTTTTTCTTTACTTAATGATAATGAAATTAATCCTATGAATATTGTTATTAGAAATTATAAACTATATTATGTTTAGGAACTCAATGACTTTTTTCAGTTTTGTTTTTCTTTGCATAATGATAATGAAACAAATCCTATAGATATTGTTATTATAAATGATGAACTATATTATATTTAGGAATTTATATATATATGTATGTATCATATTTTGAAACATATTTATTTGTTTAACGGTAAAACTACTGATTGATACAGAATTTCTGATTTCTGCTTTCTCGAATGACTAAAAAGATGACCGATGTTGTTTTTTTGAGAATTTATTTATATATGTATAATAAAATAATTAATCATATATATATATATATTATATTATTAAATAATTAAATTTTAATATAATATATATTATATTAATTTTTTTAAATTTTAGATTAAAATTTTTTAAATCTAATATAATTTAATATAATAACAGTTCAATTCACAATTCAGTTACCGTTAAATTAACGTCTCTAACGATTCCCCGCAGAATCATTAGTCACCTCAATAACTGCAAAAATGGAAAATCAAAAATTGGTGATCTTCAGCAATTAAATTAATTTTCGAAATTTCTCTACAGAAACTTCAAAACTGTATCTACTAAAACTTTAATTAATTTACAATTTGTATATTGTTAAATCAATTTCTTGAGCAATTTCTCATAGAAACATCTGTTGCCTTAATCATTGCAAAAAGAAAAAAATCAGGAACAGCTGATTTTGAGTAATTAAATTAACTTTTCGAAATTCCTCGAAAATTCGATTATTTTTGAAATTCCATTATAGAAACTTCAGAATTGAAACTTGAATCAATTCTCAATAACTGCAAAACTGAAAAATCCGAAATCGGTGATTTTCACCTGGTACTCCAAGCGTCGATGCAAACTACCCGTCAAACGAAGTCCCATTTAGAAACGCATCATACAGCCCGCAAAAACGGCAATTTCGCGTAGCCTGGTCCAACGCGTCGTCCACTCGGCAGAGAAACGTTCGCGTAGTCCGAGAGGCGCAACGAGATTCGCGTACGACCAGGCGGGGCGAATCGCCGCCTCCATTCGCGGAATAGTTTTCGACACGGGCCGCGCATAAGTGATCACGCGATCTGCGTGCGGCGCACGTGAATTGAAATTGTTTATTGGGTTAACGAGGTAACTATGGCGCGTGGTGGTTGGTTTGGCGATTTTGGCGGGAAACATTAAATGTATCTATGAATATTAGAAAAATATTATAGAAATATTCTAATAAATATTATAGAAATATTATAATAAATATTATAATATTAGAAAAATATTATAATAAATACTATAAAAAATATTACAACAAATGTTAAAAATTATATATATATTTAAATATAAATTCAATTAAACATAATTAAATATAATGTATATGCATAAATATAATAATATAAATTTTATTTATTTAATATTTATTCATTTATTATATACTTTATAGCTGATTATTATTATATGTTATTACAGTTATATATACATATATATAATAATAATAATAATAAATATAATAATAATTATTAATATGAGATTAATATGATAAAATAAATATTTGTATTAAAATATATTTATTTATATTGAAATATAAATATAATTAAATACATATATATAATAATAAATAAAACAATTATTTTAAATAAAATATTTGTTTTTATTAAATTTTGAATTATATCAATTTTTATTAAAAATGAAGTTATTAATAAAACAAATATTTTATTTAAAATAATTATTTTATTTATTATTATTATATCAATATTTTCGACATTTAATTATTAAAATTTTTTTTATCTAAAATATATATCCCAATTTCGTTGTTGCATTAATCGTGGCGAGAGTTGCGAACGGCGTAATATCGATTATTCATCTCGATTGAAAGCCGTCGGACATTGATATCAGCTGTAACCGTCGTCTAGACGCGTTCCCATCGGCCGATGCGAACTCAAAGATAAAAGGGAACAATGGAGAGGCCGATAAGTAATCCCTCGGATTAATCTCCGGGGAGGAAACCAGAAAATTCATTACAAGTCGAACGGCGCCGTGACAAGTGCGATGCCTTACGTTCTCATTAAGCCAGCGGTTTCCAACCTGGCTGACGCGACTGCCAGGGGCGGCGCGGATTATTGGTTGAGGGGTGCCAGAATTGGGAATACGAAATTATTGTTTATTGTAAGGTATATTGAAT